CCCCGTCACCTCGGAGAAGAGGGAATGGCCAGAGAGCCTATTCGAGATACTGGGAGGCGGCTTGCGGTGGGTCTTAGAGGGCCGCTTGTTATCGAGTGGCGGCAGGCTTGAAGGAGTCTTGCTGTACCGTGATTCGGCTTTCGAATAGTCGTAGGCATTAATAAACTGGTCCAAATCTGATTCCCTCGTATCCTCGGCTTCCCTCCTTTGTTGCAACTTTATTTCTTCGATGTCCCGGGTGTGTGTGGGAAGTTGGATGGGCTGTCTCGGACTGTGCCCGAACAGTCTCTCACCAAAGCGCACCAACCGCCCCCGCCAGTTCAACTTCCGATCAAGCTGTTTGGCAGAAGCAAACATGGCGGTGCGCTTGGCCCGTTGCTTGCGTGCACGCCGACGCCAGCAAACGATGAACAGGAGGAAGATGAACGCGCATCCCAGCGCCATGAGGAGAATCTGCCACCATTCTAGGGGTCGGCGGGCTTGGATGATCGTGGGATTCGCGATCCCTGTAATGGAGGGCAGCGCGGGTGCGCCGGTTCCGGTGGTGGTGGGGACTTGAACAAGCTCCGAGAGACAAACTCCGAGCCCGGGGATGACGTTCGACGAGCCCTGGCAGTTGGCGGACACGCAAGAGCCGGCACGGAGCACCTGCGTCGAGCTCGAACAGGCTAGACAGTTGCTTGGACCGGAACCGGAACAGCTAGAGCAGCTGGAGTCGCAGGTCTGGCACGAAGAGGAGGTCGGGTCGAAGAATTGTGATCGACCGCATGTCGGGAGGCACCTTCCGTTAGACAGGACAGGACGATCCTGGGGACACCGCGAGCACTCGCTGAAGGATGGTCCTGTGCAGCTCGCACAGTCAGGGTGGCATGTCACGCACAATCCCGAAGCGCTAAAGGTGTTGGAAGGGCAGGTGCTGACGCACTGCCCGCTTGACGCTAGTTGATTGCCTGCACAAGTGAGGCAAAAATTCGCAGCCCCGCTACAGGTGGAGCAAGAGGAATCACACGCTAGAAGATTGGACTCCGGGGTAAGCTTATGCGATAGAGTTAGCACGGATCACTTACGTATGCAAGTCAAGTTATCTTGAGGTGATATGAAAGTGCCTGTCGGGCAACTCTCGACGCACTTCCCTTGGGAAAGGACGAAGCCTGGTAGACAGCCAGTGCATTGCAGCTGGTTGACGGTCGATGCTCCGTTGAAACCTGGAATCTTACACGACGTGCATTTAGCGCCACAAGCTGTCAAGACGACCAAATGTGAGTGATAGGGTCGTCGTAGACGGGTGCAAAACACTTACTGTCGCACTCATGCTTGACATTATCAGCGATCAAGTTCGAGCCCTGACAGATGCCATCGATGTTCGTGCCAACGCAATTGCCGTTGAAAGAATACTGCCCAGTGGCACAGATAACGCAATCATTGGAAGTCGGACCGGTACATGTCTTGCATGACGGTGAGCATAGGCTGCATGCAGTGCCGTCACTGAAGCTGCCCTCAGGGCAAAGAACGCCGGTGCTAGTGGCTCCCTGAACGACATTGCATTTAGTCTTATCGTTCGCGTTTTGGGTAAAACCGGTCTTGCAAGCGATGCAAGTGCCTGTCGTGTCAGCACATTGCGTACATCCAAGCTGGCAAACTGAATGACACGTGAGATAACGTCGAAAGGGATAGAAATTCATGGCGAACCTTGACAGTCGCCTGTGGAAGTCAAGAAAAATCCAGGTGAACACTTCGCACACTCAGTGCCATTGTCCGACTTGGTCCAACCTGCGTTGCAAGTGCATTGGCCGTCTGTGCCACACTGGCCGTTGAGGCAGTTGCATGTCGAGGGTGCATTTGGTACGATGGGCTTCAAACACCTTCCAGAACCAGAAATTCCTTCGTCGCAGGATGCACAGTTAGATGGACACTGCTGGCACGATGGACCGAAGAAACCCGGCGCGCAAGACTCGCAGGCGGAACCGGTGAAGCCTTGAGGGCAGGTGCAAACACCAGCGGCAGTACATACGCCAGATCCGGAGCATGCTGGAGAGCATGCCGAAGACTGCATGTCGAGGAGGTTCAGAGAGTTCAATGTCCCTGCAGGGAGTTGTGCCATGTCGGGAATGGCGTCCCATAGTACAACCCGGTCATTCGTGCCAGAGCTTACGGCCACCCAAACGTTCGTGGAGATAGCGAGGGAGCTTGCCGTCAGTGGTGTTGACGAGTTGGCGGAAGGAGTCGTAGGGAGTTGAGAGAACCCAGCTTGGCCGGAGTATAGCTTTTGGGAGTAGATGGCGAGACCTGGCTCGAGGGAGAGATCTAGAGGTAGGGAAGTCGAAGATGTAGCATTTCCAAATCCAGCCGAAGGGGAGTAAGATGCTGATGAAGATGTAAGGAGATTGTGTAATAGTTGTGGATTTGTCGTCGAAGTATATTGTCCTGGCAATAATTGGATAGAAACGGGAGCACCAGGTGCGGCAAGCTTAGTGCCAACTGGGAGAGAAAAAGAGTTTAATGACCAGCGGTATTGTAAGAAACTGAATGAAGGTGACGTACTGGTGGTGTTCGTGAAGCCTTGTATACATTGACCTGCAACACAGACCACAGAAGGCGAAGATTGTGCGACTAGTCGTGGAACGGAACTTGTCAGTGAGTACCCTCGACCATTGCGCACACAACTCACGAGCTGTAGCGCCCAAAGCCAGAGGAATAGCAAGGAAGCTTAGAAACATAAGGACCTTCGTCAACGAAAGAGAAAAGAAAGGAAGAGAAAGTGGTGGTAGGTGCAGAAGCGACGATGATCGAATAGACGCTCGTCAGAACCCGTTAAGGCCTGCCACTCTATAACCCTAGTTTCCCTAACGCCTGCGGTCATTGTTCTCATAGCGGATGGCTCTTTGTGGGTCCAGAACAAAGAGTCGGCAAGGAACAATAGAAAGTTGGGGATCACGTGGTCGCGATTTGGTGTAAGAATGCTGACCAAACAACAGCAAGTCTGTACAAATAACAATGCCCGAAAACGGAACATGGTGCTTGATCGGCTCCGTCATACCCAGCTCTGGACCCTTGGGCCGAATACCTTGTACTTTGCACGGGAAGCACGACTTCTGTCAGCAACGCATCGGAGCGACCTTGTAAATTTGGCACGTAATATATAATGGCCGCTAAGTTTTACTCTGTGACTGTTCCTAAAGGCTAACGATGCTATCCTTGACCCAAAAATTTTATCACATCTTCTACTCTCAAAGTGAGATTTCCAAGTGGAATTCATCTCATTCCTGTGCTCAACCTCCCTCAAGACGAACAGCCTCTTCCAGTAACGAACACTACCCGCCGACAGCATGAGACCTCTCGTCCCAAGAAGGTGCCTCGCCTTCACCTCGACAACAACGCAGAGCCACGTATGTCCGATCACCTCCGTCGCATCCCTCTCGAACTTCTAGGAGAGATATTCCAATTTTACGTCGGTTTAGAGGGACTAGAAGCGCTCTCAGCGAGCTCGGCGGTTCGAGAACCGTCCCTCACATCCAAACTCTCGTCTTCAGCCAGTCCGCTTATCCTCGGCCGCGTGTGTTGGACTTGGAGGAAGCTCTCGCTCGCAATGCCGAGCCTCTGGTCTTTACTCGCAGTTTACAGACCAAGACTGTCACAATTGGAAGCAATCCAGATCTGGCTCGAACGTTCAGGAGACCGACCACTCTTCCTCGACATCTTTCAGCCTCCCGTCGACAATGACGAGCAGAACGAGGCATTGGAAGACCTCCTGCTACTTTTGGCAGACCACGGCCGTCAGTGGAAACACTTTTCTCTCAACCTTTGCGGCGCTCCTCCCCCCGAGGCGCTTTATCGCCTTCCATTCGACAGCTTCGCGATCTTGGATTCCGTAGACCTTCGCTTACAAGAAGACGCGAGTTTTATCCACGCCTGGCGACCATTTTACGCCGTCCCCACCCTCAGACGCGTCTCATGGGATTTTCCCTACGTCGAATGGGGGCTCCCCAAAATTGCTCCCTGGTCGCAGCTGACACATGTTCAGCTCCCATGCGTGAGGAATCAGAATATGTCCGTGGACGAGCTATTACAGGTTATCATGTATTGCGTGGAGCTCGTCGACTTAGAGCTCGCCATGACGATGCCCTTGAAGGCTCCGTCCCTGCCCGCATCGAGAGTCGCATATTCGAACCAGCTTGCTTTGGCCTCTTTGAGAGCACAGCGACGCGACCAAGCAGCAAAGGAGAGAGCAAGCGGCGCCGTGGGTCTGGGACGACTCATGGTACTGGACTCCGATATCCAAACGGCTCTCCGTGCTCCCATTGATCTACCCAATCTCCGCTTCCTCAAAATTCACGCCCACGGGCGCGATGCCGCACCACTCCTGGACCGCCTCAAGCTCCCAGCATTAATTTCATTGCACATCCTGCATTACATCACCTTTTCAGTGCCGCCATCGACGGGCTATATCACCGAGCTACTCCAACGCTCCGGAGTATACAAACTCGATACCCTATCCATCTACGACCCCGACTTGGCAGAGGGCGAAATCCTCGAGCTTCTGGAATCTCCGCGCTTGCGGTTTCTCCGACAGCTTGAGCTGCTGTTGAGCTCTGTTACCGACGACACGATTGAGGTTTTGACACACGCTCCGGGTATGCCGTGCCATCTCCCCCACCTCAAGGATCTTACACTACCAGACTGCGTCACGTCGGACGGAGTCCTTTCGAAAATGGTCTTATCACGGCAGCCTATGCTGAGTACGATGAAGTTCAGTGTAGCAGGAGACACACCGCTGATTCAAGATGTGGCGAGTTTGCGAATGTTATCTAGGCAATCTACTTTCTGCCTCTCTGTTATTTAGCTATCACAGTCAAATCACAGTCGCGGTAAATATCAGGTAGTATCAACTCGTATTATCAAACGCATTGGCGTAATGACTCCCTTTAAGTATTGGTACCTATGATGTATATTTTTTGTTCGAAATAACAAAAACGATTGGAAGTACCAGCAATATTTATTATTGACCGAGACAGGGGTCGAACCTGCAATCTCCTGATTATAGATACGAACACGATATGTATCGTAGTCAGACGCGATGCCATTTCGCCACACGGCCTCCGAAGTGCTGTCTGCACTAAGCTTCCACAACCGGAGGCACTCACAAGGCACAGATCTGACCTACGGAGACATTCATAGCATCTAGATTACGGGTCATGATTATCAGATTAGATAATGTGCAATCTGACTCAACCTTCTCCTCCTTCGATTATCTTCATCGCACGATCGTTCAATACCCTTTCGCTACTCAAGATCTTCCAACAGCTAGTATCCTAGCCATGCCTCCCAAAGGAGGAAACGCGAAGAAAGAGGGTGGGCGGGCCAAGAAGGCAGAAAACGAGGCGGGCAAGAAGGCCCAAGCAGCTGCCGAGAAGGTTCGTGGTCCATCGCGTTTCACAACGCATCAACAGCCATCTCATACCACACGGATAGGAGAAGAAGGAGGCAGACGAATGGAAAGACGGCGCCAAGGGATCCAAGGCTAGCAAGGAGGACAAAGAGGAGAAGAGGAAGGCCGATCTCGCACGCAAGGCTGAGAACGCGCGTTTGCTTGCCGAGGAAGAAGCTGCTGCGCCTCCCAAGGCCAAGCCAGCTCCCAAGGCTGGCGGGAAAGGCAAAGCACCATCCAAGCCCGCTGGGCCGGGTGCGATCGCCGCTGGTGGAGTCGCTGTCGCAGTTGATGCCAAGGACGAGATCCCGCTGGAGCAACGCGAGGTGGAGAGCTTCTCGGCGACGGGGATTGATAATGCGATTGATTTGCTGGAGGTGGTCACTGCGAAGATGGACAAGGCGAGCGTTGGGCAGCAGGCTGCTGGGATCGAAAGACATCCAGAGGTGCGTAACTCCTTACTCTACCCCAATCCGCTTTCTCGGATTGGGCTATTTCAGGATTTGAGCTGACCCACCTTTGGTTTTGCAGCGACGCTTCAAGGTAAGAAACTCATGCACCGCCTTGGCTGCGAAGGATATTTTTATCACACCATTGTTCATTACATTAGGGTGCGCTGGAGGCGTATCAAGAACGCGAACTGCCAAAACTCAAAGACGAGGTATGTTTTCCCTATATGCGTTAGTAGGGCCGCGTGTATCTGAAACTGTTCTGCAGCATCCGGGGCTACGACTACAGCAATACAAGGTCTGTCGAATATTGCACTCTATCGAACATCTTGCAACCGCACATGTTGCTGATCCGGTATATTGGCCGTTTTACAGGATTTGCTGTATAAGCAGTTTCAGAAATCCCCGGACAATCCGTGAGTTTATTACAGAGTCTTCCAAGAATTTACTTACGACTAACATTTGACCAAAGCTACAATCAGACCATGGTGTCGTACGATGCATCGAAGGAGGAGAAGCTCAACGCTCTCAAGGAGAAGAAGGCCCAGGTGGAGGAACGACTGAAGGAGAAGAAGTAAAGATCATGGTGTATTCTAAAGATGTATATCTAGCAGCGACACAGCTGGACAATTTATGACCCAGCCTCCGAGTCTGACATGTCCAAGTCCGAGTTGGTCGTTCAGGCAATGGATAGATGTCGATGTCGTGAGCCCGACACCAGTCAGCACCAGTCGTACGATGATAGTCGGAGCTTAGACTGTCTGTATTACGAAGTGGCGTGCCCCGGTTCACCGCCCATGAAAATGTCAAAAAACTGCGCCGCGTGTGCGTAGAACACAGGTATGGCCATGACCAAGTTGATGTGCCGAGTCGGGGCATATGTTGGGAGCCTGACCAGGCGGCAGAGCCTTTCGGTGATCGTGATCGACTGCACAGCTTGAGCCACCCGCTTACATAATACTCCCAGAAAAGTTTTTATAAGACGAGGATGATGCGACTGCATTTCTTCACTGGTCTGTTGACTCCCACTCACTCCTATTACCACAATGGCTTCATTTTCCATCTCTCTGCCATCCTCGAGAAGGTCAACTCCTTCGCCCACGCAGTACACCCAACCGACAAATACAATCGCAGTGACTTCGGTGCCCAAACCATTTTTTCACCCAGTCGTTCTTGATGTCCTGCGAGACCACTTTGCTTCGTTTGGTGACATAAATCGATGGGTGCCGCTCCCTGGTTTTGGCCGGATAATCGTTGTCTATAGATCAGAGGACAGCGCGGAGCAGGCAAAACAGAACTGCGATCCAATTGTCATCCAGCAATCCCATGACGGGTACGCCACACAATCGCTCATCTTCTGGGAAACATCATCCTCATGATAATTTTCTACAGCTCAGAAGTTGTACTACGCGTTTATCGCGCCGATCCCAATCCGCTAATGACAGAGGACATGTACGGTAATCCAGTGCCTGAAGCGAACTACCTTCGCCCACCAGCGGTCGACAAGAATTTCTTGATCTCCCCGCCTGGTTCACCGCCAGTAGGTTGGGAGCAGGTCAAGGAAGATCCTCCTAATCCCACACCACTTGCCGACGACCTCATCCAGGCCCTCCGGAAGCTCCAGGTGCACGAAAGGCGCTCTAGCTTGGAAGTGTTGCTGGATCCCACAGAGGGCTCTGGTGTTGGCGTGTACGTGGAGGATTGTGGCGATGACGGCGTCGACGACGACATCATGAAAGACGATGACTGGGTCTATGGAGAGACCGCTCCTGCCAGATCCAAGTGGAGGCCAGTCGCCACGGCGTTGCCCCCGCATCGCGCTATTGCTGTATAAATTTGTATCAAGTGAGTTTCTTTTTCTTACCCCCATCGGTTGTTTCTTTTCGTTTTCTTTTGCCACTCCACGGATGATAACCTATCAGACCTGTTCCAAGCTCTTTCGAGGGACTGCGGACAAACCGATATTGCCTTTTAAATCTGATCCTTCTACTTCCTTCTACTCAACCTCTTCGCATCGACCATTCACTCATCAACCCCTTTTTCGCAGTAAAGAAATCGTTTCCGCCACATCATTTATCTCTTGGACAGCCATGTTCTATTTGTATATCGTGAGTACCCTCATCTAAACCATCTATCGACTCTGGGTCCCGTCGTCATAAGATGAATAATTTCAGACCTGTTCTGATCCTTGTGGAGAAAAACCGAAATTGCCTTTTTTGCTGATACACCGACGCGGACCCCTCCCTTCCCTTTTCTTTCACTCGAGCTCTTGAACTATAAACTGACGCAATCTCCCCTAGATATTCTTATCCTACCCCTCACATCTCCTGTTATCATTGGTCCTTCGCAATCGCATCCTACATTCCGCATCCATGCACCCAATGCTCGGACATTGTACTCTATTGTTTCTATACCTTATCCCGGATCCATTGGACACTTCTGTATATGGGATCCTGTAATACCTTTCTTGCATCGCTCCACGACCACGTACCCCATCCCATCCCATCCCATATACACCTGTACTTACAATCAATCAAATCGGACCATACATAGCCAATCTGTACTCTAGCAGTGTATACTAGGCATTGCCCTCCTCGTGTTCTGCTTCGAGGACACGATATACATTCTTTTCAGCCACGATGATGATGCATGATAGTGCGGAATGATTGCGTTTTGAGGGACACATAATTGATAGAGCGAGTGCATGCGGGTGCGTGGTGAGCTCGAGGTGCGGAAGATCCGTCAGAGACTCGGACGCAGTCGTTCCAGGGCGCCATAAGATAGCAGTCAACGTCGCTGCTCACCCTACCTGCTAATCGTCTGTTCGCTTGTTCTTCCTCGCTTTAGAGCCCAACGCAGTCAGCACAGCCGGCGATCTTATCGTGGCCACCATCATCGTCAGTCGCGTTATTCTCGGAGTCCATTTATATCTCCCTTATACCACTTTCGTCGCAGCACACCACTACACATTCCTTTACCCTCTCCATCGCCTTCCAGCCGCTATGGATCAAGTAGCGAAATGGGCAGCGGGCCTATCCTGTACGCACCCTCCCCTTCTCGGAGTGCAGATCTTACATGGCTGATGGGTTTAGAAATCCTTCAGACGGGCCTGTCCTTTCTCAAACGGATCTGTACCTCTTGCAGACCGACCTCGAGCTGCATCCAATTCTCCAGGGAAAGCACGCGACCTTCCATCTCGTTTTCAGTCTCCTCACAGGTGCGATCTTGGTTCCCGTCCCTCCACTGCCTTGTGGTGATTTGGATGTGGCACTGACGTTGAGATCTGGTTTCCGACTTTTACAGGGCAGACGAGTGGGTTCAACCAGGACTCGAGGGACCGCGATCTGTCGTTCACGGCGAAGGACGAGCCGGCGACGATGCCGCGCGTCTCGCAGCTCATTATCCTGACGGAGCATAGTCCGTGGTGCACCATCGTGAAGAATGAGCGGGGGGTCACGATGCATGATATCTGTACGCAGGTGTGGAAAGAGTACGTTTGCCCCTTCCCTTCCTATGCATACATGAGGTACTAAAGAGATATTGGTGACACAGCTATACGGAACACTTGGTCACTGATGCTGAGTTCGCGTCGATCCCGGCGCGGATACAGGAGCACATCAAGCGGGTTTCATCACACAATACGGCTGGGGCTGCTGGGGGCAGCTGGGGGGCGTACTACTCGCCGATGCCGCAGACTAGAAGTCTCAAGCGCGTCGGTACGTTTTTTCCTCTGATATGTGACTGTTGTAGGGTTTGTTTGCTGATCGGCATGGTGCAGATTGGCTTCGGGAGAGGGTATACTTTGAGACGATGAGGAGGAGCGACAGTTATTCGATTTCGAGGCTAGGGTTCAAGGCTCCGAATATCTTCATCATGGATTTGTCGAATTAGACAAGACACCGCGCGTGCTTGTTCCGATTTTCTTTATTTTGCTCTCTGCTGTTTCTCTGCGTTTGTTTTTCTCATGCGATATCGCGGGTTTGGATATACCTCGCTGTACCCATCACGTTGACATGACTTCCCCCCACTCATTGAACTGGAATTGACCTGCTTTGACATGTTTTACTAGTACTTACGCCCCCCCATCCATTTATGTATACGTATGCCTCGGCACAGATCACATCGCCCTGAACCCTTCACCAAATGAAGATCTATTGTAGTCCCTCGTGGGTCCACATGGGTCCCATGACAGGGACCGCATTCCAGTTGACTTTGAAGATC